AAATTCTCTCTCTCTCTCAAAAAAACAAACAAACAAACAAACAAAAAAAAAAAAAGAAAGAAAGAAGAAGAAATAGACATTAAAAAAAATCACAAGTCACCACAGAAAACCACAATGGGGAACTATCAAACTATATCAAAGTATACAAATCATAGCATGTCTAAAGTCAATTTTCTTTTATTCATACCATTGGAAATATGCCATTGAAAATAGTTCCCCCACACACTGTCTACATGTTTTTGTAATGCACACTTTTTGCATTTCCACTGGAGAAGAAATAAAATAACACTTTGGTTAGACTCACTTAGTTTATTATAATATCTTATAATTTATAGTGGGAGATAGAAGATGAGGTTACTCAGGTGAGTTATAATGCATGTCTGGGCCTTAGCAAATCTGGAATGAAAAACCAGATGAAATGAGGGCTGAACAAAAGAACATGCAGAGACCATGCAGAGACAAGAGCAGACACTATAGACGTAATTCTTAAAGAGACCTAAAAGTCATGGAAGCTGATCATAGCGTGTCCTGTCAGGTCTAGTGGTGTACAGAACTTAAAAATTCAGTTGGCACAGGGTTATATATAGTCAGTTCACAACCTTAGGGATATGATAAATTTATCTAGGCAACTTAAAAACACAAAAGTGGGGACCAGCAGATGGTGCTGGACTCCTGCATGGTTGACCACGATTTGAGTCCTGGACCTGGTGACTTAAAACTCATACTGGGCGCATGTGCATGCATGCCCAAGATCCCGAGAGGGGAAGGGAGAAAAAGGGATTGCAGAGTAGCCATTACCCCATGGTGGATGATTTCTCACTTTCTGTCTCTCTGTCTCTCTGGTAAACACACACATCCTATAGCAAAAATGTCTCTCAAAACAAAACAAACAAACAAAACACAAAAATGTAATCTGGTTAGAGATCCATGGAGGCGTAGTTTTAAAATGCTCCCTTAATAATATAATCAGAAGTGAGAGTCATTGATGTAAAAGAATTTGACAGGCTGGCATCAAAGTTATGGGACATTTGTCCAAAGATACAAACGTGACCACAACCTTGAGATCCCAGTAGATTAGCATGGAAGTTCAGCTGGGAGAACACTAAAATTGAAGACACTTGAATGATGGATCTAAGCTCGCTGTAGTCATTATCTCAGTCTAAGGGTCTTAGGGATCTAGAGAAGGACTAACGATGAAAATGAAGGCACCTGTGAGCCACACTGTGAGGGCTGAGATAGAGACAGAGAATCCAAGTAGGGGATGACAGGGCACCAGAAGATCCTCACATACTCAAGCTGTCTGGAGACATTGTGCAGTTTATAGCCTGTGTTTTGTTATAACTGCAGGAAGACCCAAGATCTGCCCAATATTCCTGAGAATTCTAAGCAGGTGTCTTATATTTTTCCAAAATTTTTTTATTAAAGTCCATTTATTTATTTATTTTTACAAGAGTGAGAAACAGAAAGAGAGAAAAAGAGAGAGATAAGTACCCTCAACAGGGTGTCATGTCACAACCTCCCCCACTCCCACTCCCAAATCCTCGCATCCAGCCAGAATCATGGGCATACGGCCGATGGTTGGTTGCTACGGTTGAGAAACCAAACCCACAATCTGCCACATGGACGCATCATCACTTGAGAATCATGCTTCTACTGTGCTACTGAGTTAAGAAAGGCCTAACCCTTCAGTCTCCAAAATTCTGTTCATTTCCTCATTAATAATTTCTGGTACTTTCATCTTTTTCTTGATTCTCTAGATTTTTCAGGTTTTTTTAGCCAAAGAATGCTGGAATGTTATGTTTCTTTAGTTGAATAAGACAGTTTTAACAGTGTTATCAAATTTCTGCTGAATACATTAAGTTAAACATGGGGGATGAATGGAGAGTTGATGTTCATCCCTTCCCAGGCATGGCCATTCTGGTCATTTCTATCCTTAGACTCTGGCCAACATTTTATTAATACTATGGATTTTTTAACATCAAACATCTATTTTCTGTCTTTCTAATTCTCTAACAATGAATATAATCACTCATTTGACACGCAAATACACACATACCCAAATGCAACCTTGTTCCTCGTTTGTCTCAACTGTTAAATAACATTAGATTTTTATATTATACTACTAGAAATATATTGGCTTGTTGGAAAAGTCATGACTCATTTTTGCATCATAATAAAAGAGAAAAAAATGTGTCGTGACTTTTCCGATAACCCAACATATCAGTATATATGTATATATGTGTACTTTTGAGATCCGAATAGGCTAAGAAACTATGAATAAATAGAAAGATGTTGATTGTAGATATATCTGTGTGTGATACTTGACAGTGAAAGCCTTACTTATAAGAGACTGTATACCTGCTTAAAATGCTGGTGCACATAAATGCTCATCTAAGAGCACTGAATTTTGGAATGGCTATAGATGTGTACAACCGGAAATGAACATGAAAACAAGAAACATTTGTGGAGGAAGGAATGTGAACCAACTTAATATCACAATTGTTAGATAGAAGATGAATCGTCATTAACATTTTCTAGTGTTTCCTATTAACAATTGAAATGCAAAGTAAAATTGTAAACCTAGAAATATTGTGGATTTTTTAAAATTTTTATTTACTTGTGTGTTTTTTCTTTTTTTTTGGTTTTTATTTTTATTTATTTGTGTTTTAAGTTTTGCTATAGGGTACATACCAGAGACAGAGAGAGAGACAGAGAGACAGAGACAGAGAGTAAGAAATAACACACACCCCACCGCCAGGGAGGATAGTCACAACACAGTCCCTCCTATTCCATTCTCTTCTGGGGATTTTGGACCCCCCCACCCCCATACACCTAACGTGATTTTCAAGGGCCTATTTCAGGACTATAGCCACCAATCGGCCGTGGGAGATTCAGGTCTATGGGATTAAGCCACTGTAACCTTCATGCCACCTGCTGGCCCACCATTTTCATTTTTATTGTCATCTATAAGTTCCAAGAAAATGGTTTAAATCTTAACAGATAAATCATAGATATTTTTCTCATGTTCTTAATATTTCCCAAACCATATTAGCCTGTACTCCAGTTTCTCCCCTTTTAAAGAAAATATAACTTTACCCCCCCCTACTCCTTGTTAGCAACTAGCTAAAAATGTTATCCATAAGGTTGTTAATATCAACAATAAGTATAGACCTTTAGTAACTATAGTGAGAATATTCCAGAATGATAGTTATGAGGTTAAAAACCAATTAATTATTAAAATTTGATTCCTTCAAAAATATATGTTGATTCAGTGACAGAAACTGTGCAGCCTAGAAAATAGAAACTAAGACTGTCCAAGTATCCTACACTCCCCATGATGGAGAGCTTACCTGTGTTTGTGCTACAGGGAATAATGTACAGAATGGCTTCCCCAGGGAGAGGAAGTCTGGCTACATGAGTTTCTTATAGCTGCAATAACGTTCAACATAATGTCGCAAGCAAAAACAAAAAGAGAAACTCAGCCCTGGCCTCTGTGGTCTAATAATAAAAGTTTAGAATAGGAATCTGGAAGCCAAGATAAATATCATAATTATTAATTTTGCAAAATTCAAGCTTTAGCATCTGAAGATCTTTATGAGCCTACAGTCTCTTCTGCTGAAGATTATGTTATTGTTGAACACCCCTGTCTGGAATTTTCTTGTTTTTTGGGGTTTTTTTACAAGATTAGAAAAATGTAAAAAAAATTTAAAAAAAAAAAAAGCTTTCACCACCAAATTCTGTGTTGCCCATTCTATATGTCCCCAGTGATCTTTTTACAAGTCTGCCTTGGGATAATTACTATAGCAGTATAGATCTCTAATAATTTATTAACATTATGCATTAGTTCTTAGAGTGGGAAGATGGATAAACATGGCATTCTTTACATTCATAAAGCATAAGCATTATAATAACAGCTTGAATGAATGACTTTTGTTATTGCCACTGCTATTTAGAAAATACTCACTTAAGGGTTTTATTTTACTAACTTTACTGCTCCACAGTTAGAGACTTGCTGTTTTTGCAAGTGGCCTAATATGGAAAGCCACCATCACTTATGGGCAATTTGGTCTTCATTACAAATTAATGAAGTGATCATGGCTCTCTGCACGCTTGTATATGCAGAGAATGTGGATGCTGGTTCTGTGATCTTGCAGTTTATACCTCTGCATTGGTGACTTGTGGTAGCTTGCTGATTGTTAAACTATAGTGAGATCGCCATAATTAAAATAATATTTTATATCAAAGTATGAAAATTTCTACAGAATATGTTCTGTTTGATGTCTAGTAAAATGCTGACCACTGCAAAAGAAATTTTCAAATGATTCATAAAAGTAACCACCTCACTTATTTTTAAAGGGAAATCTTGATTTTAACATATAAAGTCAGTTGGTTATTTTTAAATGATATTGTCATGAAATAACTTTCTGTATGATGGCAGAAAGCATTGATTCTCTGGTGTTTTTGATAATGCTCTAGTTTATTATGCTACTGCAGTGCCAATGTAATGGTAATAAAAATACACGTAACACTAATTTTTAAAACAGTTTTTAAAAAATTGTTTATTTCTTGACTGTGTAAAAGTAAGGGTCAAAGGCATTAAGAATCAAGGGATTTATTGTGTCTTCTGTTTTGTGTGCATAACTCTTAATATCAGTGTAGACAATGGATTTGAGGATTTGACTGTGGAATATTTGTCTGGTCTCAACAATTGCTAAGTGATTTTTTCCCCCTTGAATATCCAGTAAACTGCAATGCAACTCAAATGTGGTCATCCAAATTATAAATTATTTTGTGTCAATGAACTCTGAGAATCTTGAAAATAATAATTAACAGGATTGTTATGGCGTTCCCCATATGATGTTTTTAAATGAGTAACATAGCCATATCTGCTTATTTATACTATAGATCTCTTGATCCTTTTGACATCCTTATTTTGTTTTTATTATTATTCATTATACTTAACTAATTAATTCTCACTCTCTCTTTGTTTGACTCTACAGTGGGAAGAGATCAGTGGTGTTGATGAACATTACACACCCATCAGGACTTACCAGGTGTGCAATGTCATGGATCACAGTCAAAATAATTGGCTGAGAACAAACTGGGTCCCCAGGAACTCAGCTCAGAAGATTTATGTGGAGCTCAAGTTTACTCTACGGGACTGCAATAGCATACCTCTTGTTTTGGGAACTTGCAAAGAGACATTCAACCTGTACTACATGGAGTCTGATGATGATCATGGGGTCAAATTCCGAGAGCATCAATTTACAAAGATTGACACCATTGCAGCTGATGAGAGTTTCACTCAAATGGATCTTGGGGATCGAATTCTTAAACTCAACACTGAGATTAGAGAAGTCGGTCCTGTCAACAAGAAGGGATTTTATTTGGCTTTTCAAGATGTTGGTGCTTGTGTTGCCTTGGTGTCTGTGAGAGTGTACTTCAAAAAGTGCCCATTTACAGTGAAGAATCTGGCTATGTTTCCAGACACGGTACCCATGGACTCTCAGTCTCTAGTAGAGGTTAGAGGTTCTTGCGTCAATAATTCTAAGGAGGAAGATCCTCCAAGGATGTACTGCAGCACAGAAGGAGAATGGCTTGTACCCATTGGCAAGTGCTCTTGCAATGCTGGCTATGAAGAAAGAGGTTTCATGTGCCAAGGTAATCATCTTTCATATTTTCCTTAGAGTTGTATTTCTCACCTGTGACTTTATCATGATGTAATTCAGAGAAATGGACCTAGTCTGAACTTGCTTGGCAGTAAGACATACCTCAAAATGACCAGAGCTAGTTATGTACCAAATTTATCCCTCTTGAGGCGATTTATAGCTAACTATAGAAATATTAACACATTTGATTATGCAGTGCTGGTCTATACCCCACTAGAGATGTAATGTGCTATATTTAGGTTTCTGCTGGTATTCAATTGGAGTAACATTAGTCCAATTAAAAAAGAAATCTGTTTCTCTTATGTAGACAGTAGGAACATCCTCAGCAATTGGCTGACCTAATTCTAGTACAATTAGATGAGGTGGTGACTGTTTACGGTTGTGCTTATCTATCTTGTAGCAATATTTACTTCACTGCTATAAAATATGGTGTTTTATCCGCTGACATCTGGGTATCAACTAAGTCTTTAAGTGTTTACTTACAAAGTATTAGTGATTTGAGGGAGATTCTTTTACTTAAAAATACAGGCCTGGTATTTCAGTGTGTGATGTGTACAAGTACAACTTCTTTAAAGTATATTTTGCTCTATGATTTGGCTTTTTTGTTTGTTTTTTACAGTTCAAGAGGATTACCGCTTGGATTAAAATGCATATTTGATACATAATCTAAGTAATCTACACAGATTCTCTGATACTAGATTACATATCAAAATGCATTCTAATAGAAATAAATATCAAGATAATTTCTATTCAAAATCTCTGTATGTGCAGTAAAATAAATTGAAAGATATTTTTATATAAAATTATAAATTATCACATGATCTATCAGATCACAATCCCACTTAATCCCAAAATTTATAGATTAGCATTAAGCAAGTTTTTATGATTAAGAATATACTGAAATTATTATGTAATTTTTTCTTTATTTAAGATAGAGTCTGTATATATGCATCATGCGAGGGTAAGAGTGAGACAGAGAGAGAGAGAGGAGCACTCACCATAGGTTCTGATCAAGTCATGTTAACCTTCTTCCAGCCCTCCAACTAGTTGGGTCATGTGTGCCTGGCATAGTCCAGGTGGAATGGGCCAGAGTCAAATTAGGTCATCATGTAGGATTCAACTTCTCCTGAGCATGCATTACCATTATACTACAGAACTGGTCCCATTTAATAGTTTTTAAAGAGATTTTTTGCTGTAGGGTGTGTGTGCTCACTGGAGAGACAGAGAGAGAGACAGAGAGACAGAAACTGAGAAATCACCCCCTAGGGGAGATGGCTATGTTGCAATCCTTTCTCCTCCATTCTCCTCTCAGGACTTTGGGCACACACATGCACATGCTCCTTGCATATGTCAAGTTGCTGGTCCAGGACTGAAACCACAGTCATCTACATGGGAGTTCACCAATATGACCATTATGCCATCTGCTGGTCCCTACATTTTAAAAGTATAAATAAATAGAAGAATTTCAGCACACAGTCTTGGGAATCTTGTTTTATTATCTTCATTTACAGTTTTACTCTGTCAAGGGAATTGAGTTTGGTTTTCTACCCAGAGCTACTCAGAGATTCACTATTAGTCCATGTCTAAGAAATGAATATACTTTATATATAAAAGCATTTTTGTTTTTGACTATAGACATGATTTCAAGAAAGAACATATTTTCTAAGTTTATTTATTTCTGCCATGAGCAAGACAAAGAGAGAGGCAGTACCCCTGACAGAGTTTTGACACTATGAACCACTCCCAGCTTCATGTACATGTCGATGGACATGCCTGGCATAGGCAGAGAGGTCTCTGGAGGCAATCCCCAGATCTTCCCAAGTGATGGGCCAGCAGGTGGTGTAGTGGTTAAGGCGCTGGACTCCTGCATGATGGGCGACAGTTCAAGTCCTGGACCTGGTGGCTTGCTTTCTCACTTTCCCTCTCTCCCTCTTTGTCTCTCTCTGGTGAGTACACATACCCTATAGCAAATATAAAATGATAGTGATAAATAAAATTAAAATAAATCATTTTAAAAAATCTTCCCAAGTAGGTAAGCCTTGCAGAGTGTTGTGTTGCTGCTACATCTCTGACTGGTCCTCTCAATTTTATTTATTTATTTATTTATTTTTTATTCTTTAATGAGGGCAAGTGATCTGCTGTAGCCTCATATTTCTCCATGTCGTTTTGGTCCTTGAAAAACAGCATCAGAATACCTTTACTAAGATGGTTTTGGAGGTGCCAGCAGTTGGCATAATGGCTATGTTGCTGGAATCCCATATAGTCAACCGTGGTTTGAGGCCTAGATCCAGTAGTTTAAACTCTTGCAGGGCATGTCTGCGTGTGTGCCCAAGATCCCAAGAGGAGAATGAAGAAGGGATTGCAGTGTAGCCACCCCCCCGGGGGGTGATTTCTCCCTTTCTATCTCTCTGTCTCTCTCTGTCTGGCAAGTGCATGCACCCTATAGCAAAATCCTCTCCCTTCCCCCAAAAACGATAGTTTTGGAAGTTCTAAAATTGAAACAACATACTAACTACTACTTGTTTATGTACATGAGTGGGGAAAAGTCTTAATAGACTTTGTATCCCACTTAGAATTGTATTTTACTACTATGTTATTTGTGTTGCATGGTGTTTTTTTTTGTTTTTGTTTTTGTTTTTTGAGAGGTTTTTGCTATAGGGCGTGTGCGCTCGCCAGACAGAGAGAAACAGAGAGATAAGAAAGTGAGAAATCACCCCCCAGGGGGAATGTCCACGCTGCAATCCCTTCTCCTCCATTCTCCTCTCAGGGTCTTGGGCATGCACGCACACACGCCCGGCATGAGTTTAAGCCACTGGGTCTGGGACTCGAACTGTGGTCGACTACATGGGAGTCCAGTGATGTAGCCATTACACTAACTGCTGGTCCTTATATGGTGTTTTTAACATTTATTTTAACTAAAATTGTGAAGAACTAACTCAGAAGGAACTAAGAAATTATCCATTTAACAAATGTCTAATGAGAAACTGCTTCACCCTAAGCATGTAGTAGGAATTTAGAAAAAAGAAAACCTTTTGACATTGTTAATTAACCACTTACTGGATACCAGATCTTATGCTTATTTGCTAAATAATGTTCATGGTTTATCTCATTTACTCCCCCAGATAAACTAGGAAATACATACTGTTATTATCCATTTAAAAGTGACAACAAACTTAGATAGATCAAACATCTTGATATGTCTAGGTCCCTCAGTGAGTAGGCACTGGAATTAGGATCCCAAATTGAACACTCTGATTCCAAGAACTCTGGTAATGTCACCCCACACTGCTTCCCTGCCACTCAGTCTAATGGTGGCAGAGACTAGGAAGCTCTGCAAATGCATATGGTCCCCTGGAATTAGAGTGTTGTATTTGGAGGATATGTAAGGCCACAAAGTGTTATCAGTTTATGCTCCACATTTATATCACACACATATATACACACACATATGTATGTGTGTATATATGTGTGTGTGTATATGTATACACACATATACATACATATATATATGTTTAATTGCCTGAGGGTGCCTGCGTTCACCAAAGAGGGAACGAACAGGAGACAGGGAGACAGAGAGAGAGCCTCCCCTCCCCCAGGAGGTGTGGTCACAGCACAGCCATTTTTCTCGTCGGACTTCCAGGGCATGCAGGAATACGTGCCTGGCATGAGTATCCAGTTGTTACAGAGAGATTCAGACTGTGGTCAGTCACACGGGATCTGGATTTCAATGCACAGTGCTTAGCCACTGTGCTTCGGAGCCAATCCCTCTTTCTACATTTTAAGAAAGAAATTACTAGCCAAGAAATCACATTATGGAAGCACTAAAAGTAAGAGGAGAAGTATGTAATATTTCTTTTAATTTACCATATATAGCTTAAACCTCATTTGAGCCATGTTCTTGACATTTGAAAAACTTGCTGGATATGGACAGTGTGGCCAACTGGCAAGGGGGACATCTAATAAAATCTGAATACGTAAATTATCGAGCATTTTAAACACACAAAATACCTCAAATTTAAGGTAAGCTGTGTTTCTGACCTTCTAGCAGAATGAAGTAATAAAATGCCAGGCCAGGCACGGGCACAGTGGAAACATGATGAGTATGTCACCATATCTGAGCCTCCAGTCCTGTATGAAAGACAGATAGATAAATTATTTTCTTTTTTACGTTCTTGCCATAGAGCACTTGTGCTCACTGAGAGAGGCAGAGTGAGACAGAGAGAAGGGAAGTGAGAAATCAAACCCTGGGAGGAGAGCCATGCCACAGTCCTTTCTCTTCCACTCTACTCTCAGGATTTTGGGCATGCACACATGTGTGCCTGGCATGTTTGTCATGTCTCTGGGTCTGGGACTTAACCGTGGTTAACCACAGTTTGAGTTCAGTGCCTTACCTACCATGCCACTTGTTGGATTCCCCATAAATGAATACTTTTTAAGGTAAGACAAAGCAATAAATTTTTTATTGGCAGTACAGTGTACCTTGGCATTGTAATATTTGGGCATGCACACATGTGTGCCCGGCATGATTGTCATGTCTCTGGATCTGGGACTTAACCGTGGTTAACCACAGTTTGAGTTCAGTGCCTTACCTACCATGCCACTTGTTGGATTCCCCATAAATGAATACTTTTTAAGGTAAGACAAACCAATAAATTTTCTATTGACAGTACAGTGTACCTTGGCATTGTAATGAAGGAGAGATGAATTTTGAGGATTTCAAAATTAATCACTGAAGTTATTAAGTGGGAATCCTTTGCTTTGAAATTTTTGGACTCTAATGGCTTTTGTGCTTAGAAAATTTTGGGCATGAGGAAGGGTTAAATATCTTACACATTCCAGATGATAAGGTTTATAATTTGTCTATAGACTCATTGTCTTAAAATATCTCAAAATGAGAGGCCAAGTGATGGCATAGAGATTAAGATGCTAGATTCCACATAACTGGTTGCATGGTTTGAGTCCTGGACTTGCAGCTTGAAAATCACATTGGGC